TTAGACGCTGCTCATCAGAATCATTTAATGTGCAGGATGATTTCTGAGAAAAGTTTCTTTTTTCAGGTTCCTCTTTCTTTGACACGTTCTCTGTTCTCACGGAACATTTTAAATATGGACCTGTAGAGGAAGTGGTCGTCTTTGCGAGTGCAGTGAGCTACCAAGATAAGTTAAAGGTGTTAAACAGAAGCAAAACGTCAACTAACACACACAGTACAGCACATTATATTCATACAGTGTATTGACACAAATTATTGACATAATAATGTTTGGTCCTTTTTATTCTCTCAAATGTTGGTTTTGTTCCAGGGAGCAGAGATGAAAAGCTTCCTCTGACACACTCACATGATATGAATAAGGCCTTTAAAGTGGAGCAGGTGAGGTACTTTGTGGCGTGGTGCTCGTCCTCTGGCTCACGTCCACTTGCTGTGTCCAGGGGGCTCTGTGCAAAAACCCAGGTGCTGGAAGTCGACCTTGGATGTAGATGAGTATCTTTGGCACCACAAGATGAAAAAAACATCGACGCACAAACATCTTGATTATCAGATGACTCAGAACAACATGTGACTATGTGAAAGAGCACAGACTCTCTGTCGTACTAAAGTGGAACAATAATATAATAAATAATAGTTTTTCCAACAAATAGAAGTAGATTTCTGAAAACATTGAGGGGAAGTTAATATGATTCTTATAAAGTTTGTTTTAGACTTTTTGAAGTGTAAAAAAAAATCTGCTTCCTGACTTGAATGAAAAAAAAAAAATTCCCTTTTGCAAAAAATTCATTTTTCTTTTCAACACTAAGAATTAAAGCCAAAGAATCAGTACAACAATTTAAGTGATTAAAAAAACGGTACCAAAATCTTATTAGGATGCTAAAATAAATGTTATAATAAGAAGCCTTAACAATACAAACACAATAAAAGTTGAAACACTTTTGTCAACAACGTTTTCTTCTTATTTAAACACATAAAGAAGCAGAAAAGGATCAAAGCTAGTAAACAATCACACAAGCTTTACTCGTGTTCCCTCAGTCTGCAGTCTGTGGAAATAATCAGTCTGATTTTCTAAATACATTCATGGCTTCTCTGATTAAAGCTTGAGGAAAAATAGTTTGGGTGAAAGAAAGTCCACAGGTTTTCATTTTTTGAAATTGCAAAAACATTTTCATGTAAAGAAAAACTTTAAAACATTTGTTCCACCTCTTTAAATGTTTCACTGAGGACGAGAGACATTTAAAGAGACGTCTTGCAACCATTGAGAGGTGATGAGCTGAAGGTGAACCGCTGGTTCAATGTGTAATAAATAAAGTGTAGTGATGGAGGAACATTCAGCAGTGAATGATTCATCACATATTGTGTGTGATGTTTATTGTATCATGTGTCTACTATACAACAGATACGGTTATCATGTTTAGGTACACAGGACGGAAGCCTTTATCATTAAAAGCGCTTCACCTGATTCTTCTTCTCCCTCAGCGCTCCAGTTTGTGCAGATAAGGTGAAATAGTGTCGC